AGCACATTTATTCCAAACCCCTCAGAGACATCCATTACAGTCTTAGGCGAGTTGGCAGGCACTCTGTAAACTCCTTCTGAGTGGGTAGGAAGAGCTATCATTAAAAACTGGTTTAGGTAAGTGACCCCTCATTTTAGCTAAGGGAACATGTGAGAAATTAATTTGTAAGAGAGTGGTAGGAGAGAATAGCATTAAACAATTTTTTAGATGTGTACAATCCACCCTCCGAGTGTCCTGGACTCCATGAGATGATAATGTACCAGGGTTCTCTCTGAAGACTCCACAGGGGAGCTTCTAAATGAGTTTCATCCTTTGCTAAGATAAGCAGACAGGATATTAAACCAACTGATTAGGCAAGAAACACATGTACTTTAAACCCCATTTTCAGCTGTCACCTACCTCTCAGCTCAGTAGATGTGGTTTCGACTGCCTGATTATGTGGTAGTCTAATATTTACTGTTATAATAACCTGCAAGACGTATGATATAAAAGAGCTCTTGGAGACACTGCTAGCATTTGTTTTACACATCACAGAATAACGTTTCCTACCGTACACGATTAAGAAATGGGGGAGGGCTAACAAAAATTTTGTCTTTTGCTATAACATCATCAGAAAAATATTCTATAGATCTGTTTGTTTTTTTTCAACTGCACTCAATTGACCCATGTCTCCTGTCTATTCCATCAGAGAGCTACTCAGAGAAATATCCTTTTACTTTCCACAAATAACCCTGGTTAAGAACAAAACAAAGATAACACAAAACACCAATGTCAAAAGTACTGGGTCCCTAGGCGGTGACATATTTCCCACAGGATCTCAAGAGCACGATCAGAACTAGAATGACTGGGGTGTCGGCGCTCACTGTGTCTATTTTTATTGTGTGCCCTAGCCCTCTCCCGGGGGCTGGCCTCTGCAGGGACCTGAGGGGCCCTGGGGGACATCCTCTACTGCAGGGACCTCAGGAAAACACCGGGGTCCACTGTGTGCTGGGCTACACTCGCGAGGCTCTGAGACGCAGGTAAAACCTCCACCTTGAAAAGAGTGACTATCCTGCAATTTGACAAACTAACATGGCCAGAGACCAAAAGCAAGTGCATAAGGGATGATGAAAAGTATTTCATATCCTGTTCGGGAAATCTCACAATAAGGATGAAAATTTAGATGAACACCATAAAGGCTGATACTTACTGAGTTTAGTTTCAGAATTACCTGAAATTAGAAACGACTTGTAGCATTTGTTTTCGTTCAGAACTAGAGGCCCGATGCACGAAATTCATGCAAGGGGCTCAGCCCTCACAGCCACGGTGGCTGTCTCAGCCCTTGCAGCCCCAGAAGGTCATCCGGAAGGACATCGGGAATGTCATTCGGCTGTCAGGTCTAATTAGCATATTGCGCTTTTATTATCAGAGATGGCTTCAGTGGATTAAGGCTTTTATACAGTTACCTCTACCTAGGGATGGCAAAGGAGGTGAAAACCGCATTTCTGAAACTGTAGAATTGGATGTCTAACTCTGCTGGGAAAACAGATAATGAAGAACCAGTTCTCCCCATCTGGCTGGCTGGGAGTGCTGGTTGTTCATCTTTCTTCACATTGGTTCGGGAGCTAACATTGGTCCTCAAAGAATGACCTATCCCAAGAGCACAGGGTCTCCTGGGAGAGGTCCGTTCCCTCCCTCCCTTCCTCCCCCTCTCTCTCATCAATAAATATAAATTTAAAATGTGTATTTAGCACCTTCTAATAAGAGCGATATAAGGGGTGTGGTGAGAGCCTCGAAGATGGACAGAAGGTCATTATTCCAAAAAAATGAGCAAGGTTAATGGCAAAGATTGGAGAGCAAAATATCCATCAATGGGCCTTACGGAGAGCTAAACACCATCAGACTACAGTGCTTCCCAGCACAGAGAATCGTCCACTCTGCCAGCTCCCTCAGGCCACAGAGCATCGGAACAGTCCTTCCTGAAGGAGACGTGGCTACTGCCTGGAGATGGTCACATTTAAGGCGCTTCCTGTCATTTTGCATTTTTTCACCTTTCACTCTACTGTATTGGGCTTCACAAGTACTACTGATTTCATTCGCACAAAATAAGCCACGCATTTAAGGCGCTTCCTGTCATTTTGCATTTTTTTCATGTTTCACTCTAGCGTATTGGGCTTCACAAGTACTACTGACTTCATTCACACAAAATAAGCCACTCCCCTAAGCTGATTGCTAGGTTAGAGTCAGTCACACTTCCTTCCCAGTAATTCCCTGTGGTTTATCTCGACAAATGTTTACCTTAATTGACTTAATTTAAATCCCACCTTTTCCCTCATCTCTTTCATTTTACAGGATCAGCCAAAAAATCTTAGAGCGATGTGAGAGAGACACATAGATTGGCTGCCTCCCGCACACACCCCACGTGTCCCTACTGGGGCAGGGATGGAACCTGCATCCCAGGGGCGTGCCCTTGACTGGGAATCCAACTGGAGACCCTGCAGGTTTTTACACCACACCAGCCAGGGCTAGAGTACTCGCATTTTGCATTTTAACACCTCTGGCAGACTCATGTCACAGAGGGCCATGCTGCTCCTCAGTGGTCTCCATAGGTCTACCAAATCGGCTAAAGCAGTGGTCGGCAAACTGCGGCTCTCGAGTCACATGCGGCTCTTTGGCCCCTTGAGTGTGGCTCTTCCTAAGCCTTAGGAGGACCCTAATTAAGTTAATAACAATGTACCTACCTATATAGTTTCAGTTTAAAAATATCGGCTCTCAAAAGAAATTTCAATTGTTGTCCTGTTGATATTTGGCTCTGTTGACTAATGAGTTTGCTGACCACTGAGCTAAAGGATTTGACAGTCAGACCATATCCAAGATGAGCTGTTTAGACTGGAGCTAGCTGTGCCTTCGCTTGTATCTTAGCTGTGTCATTTATGGGTCTGGGCAAATGTCCTTAATCCTCTGGTCCTGTTTCTCCAGCTGAAGAAAGTGGAAATAATTCTACTGTACATCATTGAAGTAAGGACTAAAGGAGGAATCTTCTGTCTGAACACCTAGACCACTGCATTCAACATGGGCATGAATATGTGTTTAATGCTCCATTCTTTCATTAAGGGGCTTCATTATTTCTAGCACTTTGAGGTCTAAAAGAAAGCAGGTTAAAAAGAACACAGGAATCTCCTTTATTGCCTTTTTAATTTGCTAACAAGTCAGCTAAAATACTCTCACAATACAATTTCTAACAAGTGAGTTCTTCCTGGCATGCAGGACTCCTAGGCAACAATTAGATAATGAGATCCTGGCTGCAGACCCGAGTGCCTGTGAGGATGCTGATGGCCAGCACACAATGGCCTTGACTTCCAGGCCTGAAGTTAGCTAAGCAATTAAACAGCAAGGCCTGTGCCTTGACATTTTTTAACATATATTTTTATTGATTTCAGAGAGGAAGGGAAAGGGAGAGAGAGATAGAAACATCAATGATGAGAGAGGATCATTGATCGGCTGACTCCTGCACACTCCACACTGGGGATGGAGCCTGCAACTTGACCGGGAGTCAAACTGTGACCTCCTGGTTCATAGGATGGTTGATACTCAACCACTGAGCCACGCCAGCTGGGTGAATTTTCTGATATGACGATGAATTTACTGAGTTTGTCAGCAGACTATTTTTAATTGAAGGTCAATGACTTTTCAACTACTTTGGGTATCATAATATGGTATTTTTTTAGGACATTCTTTACATATCATTCTCCCGTTACAGTTTTCTACTCAGAAGCTACTCATGTTAAAGAATTGATTTTACAACCCCCCAAAAGGCTAGTAGAAAAATAAAAACTACATCAGTATATGTGTAAGTGTGACTATACACAAACACACACATATGTGTGAGCCTACACAAAAACTATAAAATTATTTAGCTCTGGAAATAATGCAAAAGAGATAATTATGCTACCTTGAAAAAATTAAAAATAAATTCTGCTTCCCAGAAGATATCTAAAAAATATAGCAAGATTTGTTAAATGTGCCTAGGAGTTAGCAAAATTCCTGGTATATAGTAGGCAATCAACCTTGACTAAAAAACTAAAAATAAATGTGTCACAATCTTGCTTGAATTTTGCAAACAGAAAAACTCTGCAAAGAAGAACTACCCAAAATTTCCAAGAAAATAAGTGCAGAACCAGGAATAAAGTTCAGATCAATAAATGTGTAGTTTCTATCATTTTACAAAACGTTACGATGACCCAGGTCATCATCACTGCCCGTATTGAGGAGTGAAGTAACTAAGAGAAATGAAGCCATTTGGCCCAGACTTCCAGCAAGGCCGACTCAGCAGAGAGCGGCGGTGTGCCGTCCAGGAGCGGTTTGTTTTCATCTTCTTCCTTCTCATCTTCCTTCTGCCCTGGCTGCTGCTGTGGAGTTCCTGATGAGATGTTATCCGCAAGGAGATCTTCAGAAGAAACCCTGGCGCTGACTTGCAAGACCCATGGACGGACGGGGTCTCCCACACTGACTAGCAGCTTCACACTAGTTTCCAGACAAGCACGACTGACTATTTCAAGCAGCACCGATGAGAAGCAAGGCTGGGCAGCTTACTGCAGCCGACCCCCAGGACATGTACACTCAGCCCAGTGAAGTCTTTATAAAGTTGCGCTCCCCCCCAGTATGGTATATTCTTAGAAAGTTAAATCCGGTGGCAGGAACAAAATATTGCTCATCAAATAGAATCATACTTGGCAGATAAATACTTGTAGATGTAATTTTAATCTTAGCCTTTGTTTCATACAATAAGGTCATTCACACATTTTAGCAATTTTTAAGCAATATTTAATCATCTGAATGCTTAAGGTCATTCCATTATAACTACATTTCCTTATTTAGTACCCTTTTGGTTTAGATAAATTGGAATGATTTAAGAAATGTTTGTTTTACCCTTAAAAAAATGTTCTGAGACTTTCCACAATTTCATTCAAAAAGATAGAAATCTCCAGACTGTGAAATGTCATAGTCCATTGAACACTCACCTAAACCAGACTTTTTTAACCGTTTTAAGTGCTGACTTGTTTGTTTTCCAGTGGGAGATTTTTGCCCATGTTTCATTTCTTTATCTGAGCTGTCTGCTTCACCATTTTTAGATTCGGATCCTAAAAAAAGGAAATAGTTATTAGGTCATTATCTTCCTCTTGCTGTCCTTGGAAAGAAACATCTCAAATTGTCTTAAAAAGCTGTAGATATAATCTCCTTTTCTAGGAGTTAATTCACTACCTTGGGCCACAATCTGATTCCTTTACTGGCTACAAAGAGAAAGCCCAATAAATCAATCACACAGAACAAAAAGCAAGAACAGATGGCCTAATAGTGGAGTCAAAAACACGTTCGCTGATCTGACAGCTTATAAAGGAAACACTGAGATCTTTTGTAAAAATACTCCAGTAAGCTCCAACAATATTATATCACTTAGAGACGATGCAAGACAGGAAGCTGAAGCAAGAAGAGAAGCTGAGAGAGAGAGAGAGAGAGAGAGAGAGAGAGAGAGAGAGAGATCGTACCTTTATAAATAACTTTACGCAGAAAACGCAGCCATCGGTATATCACAAACAGAATGGCACATCGCTGATGAAGTGACAGGAGGTAAATTAGAAAAGGTCAGGGCTGCACTGAGGTGGGAAGGATGTGGCCAGAACACAAAACCTAATCAAGGATGCCCGGTGTTGCAACCGAGGACCGCAAAACAATGCACACCCCCCGAACTGCTGCTGCGGGCAGTGCCATCAGCGTGCGATCCACCATTAAAGTTCCACGTCCACACAGAAAGAGCAAACACCCCTCCTAGAAGTGCCATTTCTTATCCCTACTGACGTGAGCACAGGAAGTCCTTTGCTGATGAGTGAGCTGGTACCTTTGTTTAAGGAGCAAAACACTGTGTTTTTCAATCACTGAAAGAGTCAAAAGGATAGAAACATTGGGCCACAATCTGAATTAACTCCTTAGAAACTTTAAACAAAACCTCTAGTGAAACCATTGCTCAGTTGCGGAGAGAATTCCTGGCATCTCCCTTCAGCGAGGAAGTCTCCCCAGCGGGAGCCTGGCCCGCGGACCCGTTCGGCTCTTTACCTGATGGCGAATCTGACTGCTCGTCAGACACCTTCAGGGGTGTCAGCACCACGCGGGGGACAGTCTTGTTGACCATCACTGAGACTCCATTTCTTCTCTTCTGCTGCTGCCTCAGAGCCTACGAGACATGACAATCAAGTAGAACATAAAAATATAGCCCCAACGGTTTCTCGTGATTGAATTAAATGATCCATCTGCCCATTAGATAGAGCCTTTTATGAGACTTAAATGCCCAGAGCTACTCATTTGTCAGGCTTCGCAATAGCCACCTTCAGGTCATTTTCCCCCCAAACCCACAATCGGCCTTTGGCCAAGGCTGTCACCCCGAGACCCTCTCGGGTATCATTCAGAAAACAGAGCCCACAAAAGCCGGCTCCCCCTTCACCGCAGGGCCGGAAAGCCCATGGGAGGTGAAGCCATGATGCCCAAGTAACATACATGTCAAAGGCATGTGTCCAGACCGGGATGGAAAGCTCCGCGTCTGGGCGTCCCTGGCAGGTGCGCCCTCCGCGCTGCTCAGCCAGTCATGGTGACAGAGTGTCATCAGTATGTACAGCGGTTGGGGACACAGTATTGATGCGCTCGCTCAGCCGCGGGCAGCGCCGCACAGAACCGCGGGACATGGCAGGAATCGTTTATTTCTGCGAAGGGAATCAGTCCTCATCCTGGGAACCTGGCAGCGCGTGGCTCTGTTGCTGGCTTGACTTTGGGCATTAACCTTCAGGACACGAGCCTGACGGCCTCTGGCAGATCCCGGAGAAAAATAAACCGAGACGAGAATCAATCTCTGCAAATGGGAGTGTTGCGTGATTCATAAATGAATCAGCCACGGTGCCGATGATGAAATAAAAGACATTTGAAAGTTCTGAGAGACAGCTTATCTAGCTGATGGATTTACGCCGAAAATTACCTGTAATAAAAAGGGTCTCAAGCACACAAAACCGAAGACACATTGAATTCACACTTACAGGAAAGCTAAGACTCCTCAGCAAGGTTCAAAGGCTGGCCCCAGACAGGCTCAGACCTTTTTATTCCTGGTTCCTGTGTAATTTCTTCCAATTTTCTAACATCTCAGTTACTTGATTAATGTTCTTCGACCAACAGCTGTCACGGGCTGCTGAAACATTGCACTGACTATATATTCCCTCGCTGTCAGAAACGATGCCATTCTATTTGCAGAGTCGTAGCTGAATGTCCAACTTGTTGATCGCAAGATTTAGCAATCCAATCATTACAGATGTGAAAAAGTAAATGCCATGTAAATGAGAGGAGGCATAGTCAGATTATATTTATAACCAACTGGGAAAGTGAATGGGTTGAGAAATCTATTACAAACTAGAGGCCTGGTGCACAGACTCATGCACCGGTGGGGTCCCTTGGCCTGGCCAGCGGGGATCAGTGGACCTCTGCACCACTGCAGCCTGGGCTTACCTGCCAGCTCAATGGGCTCCAGCCTGCTGTCTGCACTGATCTCACACAGCACAAAGTAGTGCAGGCGGCCAGGGAGGAGCCCGAGCCCAGGTTAGGCACCGTGCCCCTCTCACTAATCCCGGCCCGGCTGCGACTACTGCTCCTGCCGCCAGGGCACACAAGGGGAGGGTCCATGGGAGAGATTCACGCCACTGCAGCTGCGCTCACCAGCTGTGAGCCCGGTGTCTGTCAGCTGAGCAGTGCTCCCGCTGTGGGAGCCCACTGACCACCAGGGGGAAGCTCCTGCACTGAGTGTCTGCCCCCTGGAGGTGAGTGCGCATCATAGCTACCAGCTGGTCATCCGGTCGCTTAGGCTTTTATATATATAGATGATTCTGTTGCTAATGATGACACAAGTCATCTTCCCTTCTTAGATGTACTAAGCTTTTATAAAGAACCAGGTACTGTGTGGGGAAAAGAGACACAAAAATGAATAAGATGCCATCCTCCTCATCATTTTCTAGCTCTCAATAATACACATATATATTTCTTACTTAAAATATTTTTTATTGATTTTGGAGAGGAAAGGAGAAGGAGAGAGAGAGAAACATCAATTATGAGAGAATCACTGATTGGCTTCCTCCTGCACCACCCCCCCGAGAATTGAGCCCACAACTTTGGCATGTACCCTGACTGGGAATCAAATCATGACCTCCTGGTTCATAGGTTGATGCTCAACCACTGAACCATGGCGGCAAGGGGTCTCAGTAATATATTTAATGAGAGCACATGTGCTATAAAATATTTAAGACATTTGCTCTCTTTCATCAAGGTGTATACATAACTCTCTCTAGCCTTATGTACGAACACAAAGCAATTTATGGACATTAAACCATCAATCCAATAAAAAAAAAACAGAATGAGGCAACACAGTGCTCTCCATTACAATTCAGTCCATCTTTGCCCACTATGTAAGACACCCACAAAACAATAAAATCTACAAAGAGTGACAGGTTTTTAGGAGGCTCTACATCATAGATTTAAACTATTTCCCTTGGCAGTTCAAATAGGCATTTAAAAAATATTCATTTGATGTCAGGTGTATTTTGGAAAATATTGGTTGGAAAAAAAAAAGAGAGATAAAATACAAAGAGGCCCATCAGCCTGAATCATAAAGTCAAAGATGGCCTGCCTTTTCACAGCATCTGGTGGTAATAATTAAAATAATAAAAATTCCACCCTCAATTTTTAGAGCTGAGAAGACTCTATTATAGGAAAATTAGTAGTTGGATCAGAAGAAACCATGACAGCAATAATAGTATAAAAACAATGAAAACCCTTAGCTTCCCTGGCCGGTAAGCTCAGTGGCTAGAGCGTTGGTGTGTGCACTGAAGGGTCTCAGGTTTTGGTTCAATTCCAGGTCAAGGGCACGGCACATACCTGGGGTGCAGGTCTGCTATCCAGCCCCAGTCAGAGTTTCTCTCACATTGATGTTTCTCTCCATCCCTTCCCCCCCTCATAAAAAATAAGTGGAAAAAAATATGCTTGGGTGCAAATTGACCAAAAATAAAACATTTTTTTAAACCAAACCTACACCTATTTTTAATTTTAAAGAGTCACGGTGGAACCAGGTAGGGATAAAATAATGCTAATCAATATTGTGGTTATTTCAATGATTTTCTTTCTGAACATGTATTTCCTACTCAGAAATTTAAACAATATTTCTTAATATAACATTTTAGAAAAATATATTTTTATTTATTTCAGAGGGGAAGGGGTGTGAGAGAAAGCTAGAAACATCAATGATGAGAGAGAATCATTGATCGACTGCCTCCTGAACAGCCCCCACTGGCTATCAAGCCCGCAACCTGGGCATGTGCCCTGACTGGGAATCGAACCATGACCTCCTCATCCATAGGTCAACGTTCAATCGCAGAGCCACGCTGGCCAGGCCATAATATAACGGCATGTGAAATACTGATATGCAACACTCTGTGCCTGTAGGTGACTAAGTGCCCAACAGAAAAAGGACTGTTTTAAGTGTATGGAAAATATGCATACTTTTTAGTTTTACCTCTAAAACACGAGCATTATGTTGGACCCCGATTAACTTTTCTAGGGGCAAATAAGCAACAATTGGGGAGTGTGTCACAGTGGACAGCAGGCTCCCAGGTAAACTGAGGGGCACCTGGGCTCAGCTACAGGAAGGGGCATCCTGACCACATTCACGAGATCCGCCTCATCGTAGGCTGAGCGGTGCTGGGCTCATGGAAGAGTCCAGTTCCCTTCCCAGCAAGTGGGGTTTATTGGACTAGGACACTGAGGACTCCTCCATGCATGTCGGTGTGGAATGATAGGGGAAGCAATGCGGACCCCAATGAGATGTTCAGGATAGTCTGGGCTGGCTCCGACCAGAGAACTCTGACACTGGTCATGTCCACAAGGCAGGCCGTGTAGTGAATCCGGCCTCACATTATTGTACATATTAATATGTGTCTTACATTGCCGGTCTCTTGGACAGATCTTGCAAGTGAAGAAGCTAGCTAGTCATGGTTTTGGTTTTCTCTGTGTGTGTGTGTTTTGGGGTGTGGGGAGTTATATAACCATATTTCTGCAACTCACACATAGAGGCTGCTTGTATCCTCACAATTCCTTGAAAAAATGTGCAGTGCTGTTTGGACCACACCGCCTGGGGTGGCTGAAGTGAGTGGGGATACACACCCCACCGGAGGGGGCAGCACCTGCTCAGGAGAACCAACACAACTGGACTTTCAGGATGTTTAGGTGAGTTTTCCTGTTTTGAACAATGTGCCAGACAAAACAGAGATGGTTCTGAGCCTGGGTCAGCCTGAGGGCACCAATCTTTGATACCATTAACAGTGCTCCTCACCTCACCCAATGAGTCTGGCCATGCCCAAGGGAGGTAGGAACCCCCCTCCCGGTCGAGGACGGGCTGCTGCAGAGCCCTGGCGATGACTGTGGGGTGTGGTGGTTAAGACTGTGGATGCCATGCCTGGCTGGCGTGACTCAGTGGTTGAGTGTCGGCCTATGTACCAGGAGATCATGGCTCAACTCCTGGCCAGGGCACATGCTGGGTTTGCAGGTTCAATCCCTATTATGGCACATGCAGGATGCAGCCAATCAGTGATTCTCTCTCATCAGTGATATTTCTCTCTCTCCCTTCCTCTCTGATATCAATAAAAATATATTTTTAAAAAAGATTGTGGGGTGCGGTGGTTAATGGCGAGGTGTAGAGTCAGAGAAAGAGTGCGCAAGCAGAGCAATGCTGAGTGAATTACCTGGTACATGTCCGTGTGAAACAGACACAGAGCCGCTAAAATGTATAAACAGGAAATGCACAGAGCTGTTCGCATTCAGGCTGTTTGTATACAGGCTGTTTGCATTCAGGCTGTTTGTATAAAGGCTGTTTGCATTCAGGCTGTTTTTATAAAGGCTGTTTGCCTTCAGGCTGTTTTATTCAGGCTATTTGTTTTCAGGCTGTTTGCATTCAGGCTGTTTTTATAAAGGCTGTTTGCCTTCAGGCTGTTTTATTCAGGCTATTTGTTTTCAGGCTGTTTGCATTCAGGCTGTTTTTATAAAGGCTGTTTGCCTTCAGGCTGTTTTATTCAGGCTATTTGTTTTCAGGCTGTTTGCATTCAGGCTGTTTTTATAAAGGCTGTTTGCCTTCAGGCTGTTTTATTCAGGCTA